TTTTTATATGTATAATTTTTTGGAATAATTTTTTTTTTTTAGACAATGTGAAACAATATTGAAAACGAACGACGAATACCGCGTCAAAGTAACTCCAACGTCACTCCGGGTTCTGGTCGCTAATAGTTCTCGGTTTCGAGAACTTGAAGTTTCTCAACATATCCCGCTTCGTCCCGTATCCTTCACGACACAGGAGCGTAATTTCACTTTGAAACGTTCGCAAACAAGTTTACCGACTCTCAAGGGTCGCTAATGTCTATATATTCGATGCAAGATGCGCTTTAATCGCGCTATATTAATCGTTCGCTGGGTAATTACGTCTCGTTTTTTGAATAGCGCTTTTATCTCGCATAACTCAATGCGCCTCGAAAGAATATTGCATGCGACGTTACGTAATTCGCAGCTCAGAAAACTTGCTGCTAATTAGTTCTTCACTAGTTTTCCCTTTGAAGGAAGGGGCTCCTTTCCACATTTAATTTGGTTCTATTTTTGGTTTCAGTATGCGGCGATATTCACGGACAGTTCTACGACCTGATGAAATTATTCGAAGTGGGCGGTCCACCTTCCTCGACTAAGTATCTCTTCCTAGGCGATTATGTCGACAGAGGATATTTCAGTATCGAGGTGAGTATGTGAAAAATAACAAGTAGTTTTAGAAAATTATGTTTTTGGCACTGAAAAAATATAATAAATTTTAATAAATATTTAATAAATTTTGTTTGAATAGTACTAATGATGCCTGCATTAAATAAATACATGTTTTACATTTACATTTATTAATGTTTAAATGAATATTAATTTGATTTAACAATCATTTTTTATTGAATAAATATTTATTTATTCAATAAGTATAAATAAATGTTTAATTAGTGCTATTGAAAAAAATATGTATTAAGATTTAATAATTTTTTCCTCAATATAATTACTAAATCGACACAGATATTATATAACTTTAATTAAGAGTTTAGAACAACTAAGAGTTGTCTTTAAATACGGAAAGAACGATTATACTGAAATTTAACAATTTGACTAAATACAGATCTAAAGATAATTTTGTTGGACTATTAAAATAATTATATACATAGGAATCTCCAGTATAATGAGTAATGCTGCAAAAAGTTTTGATGTTCTAGCAACCAGTTTGAACATTCTATATAATTATTATGGTTCAACAAAATTATTTTCAAATCTATATGTAGTTGAAATTTTTGATACTTCAACAATACCGTCTTTTCCGCATACGCTGTGTAGCTGTATTATTTGCATGTACATTTGTATAATATGTATATACAAATAGGGCAAACGTAAATGAAAATGTATCCCTTTATTCTGATTGTCGGGGAGAAAGTTTCATCTCGAGAATTATTGAGATGAGAGCATTTACTCATCGGATTTTGTAATTAGCGTATGTTCTAATTAATTAATTAATTATTAAATCACCTGCTCGCTTATCCAGCTTTCGCTTATTCAGCTTAGCTGTATAAAATCGTTAATTCTCTGACAATGAGAGGCTTGCTTTGGTACTACCCGATTGTCGTAAATGTCCTGACACATTCAAAGATCATTAAAGTTGCTAATTAACAAATTTCTTATTAACATTCACGAAGTTTTTGAAAACTCTAATGTTTAGAAACAAACAATCAATTACATTGTCCGACAAGAAATAACTTTTGAACACCACAACAAGGCTAATCGTGTTCTCTAATTTTTTGGATGCTGAATATGAATCTCTTTTCCAAATTGCTTTACGTTATATTTTTAAGAAATTTGCAATTAAAATTGCTAAAAAGAGCTGTTCATATATTTCCTATATTTTGTTATACTATATAAGTCTGATATGTGTGACGAGCTGGAGAATTGATTGCAAAGTTAAGTTGTTGAGTTTTCAGCTTTCAAAAGGACTTTTTAGTGTCAACTGTGATTAATAAGACATTCATAGTTAAATTTGCAGAAAAGCTGTGAATTGATTGTTGATCATTTATTATTGATTATTTATCAAATGGATTTTAATAATATATTTATTTAAAGGTTTTTTAAATCACTGAATACAAATAATTCGATAATAAAAGTGACTTAATTAACAAATTTAAAATAACAGATTTAATATGGCGGATATCAAAATATGAAAATGGGTTATCATAAAAATTTACGTATAAAGGTCTTTCATGATTTTGAACTTATTAATTTTTATATAAGAGAAAATATTAAAAAATTCGTTTGATGGCTGAAGATTCTAACGGTA